CATCCCACATCAATAATCATTCAAAATAGGAGAACTGTATTTTACAGTAACAGTGGTGATCACTGAATACCAACCCTATCATCACAACAAAATAATTTTGAACTTACGTGAATTTCTCTCTTGCTGAAGCAGCTGCTCACACAACATAACAACATGGACACGATAAATAAATAAGACGTTCCTTTCATTGTTTTGTCAGTACCACTGGTTCCACCGTCACACAAATAGATATGCTGACAGTATTTATTTACACCAGGCGTACCTCGTCTTTTGATTGATCAGCTGTTAGTGCCCTCTAACTTCACGGGAAAACTAGTATCATTACTGGTAATAATTTCAGCGTGCTTTCGAATATATGAACAGAACATTCGTTTGCCTTGTAATGTGTTAGGATGGATAGACTGAAACCATGGATATGTTATATTCTAGTCAAAGTGCCCGGACCGTCGTCGTTGGAGATAGTATTTTTATCCGACAGTAAGCTAAAGGCTCCAGATGCACTCAACGGTTGTTTGGCTGAAGCGCCCCAACAGTTCATATGTTGAATGTTTTCATCTTCCTGCAAGCATTTTTATGGCTATAATTTGTTTGGGAGAGAGCGGGAGTCATGGAATATTGCCCGGGGTAATGGAAATGTAAGATGGTGTATAGAGACGCATGAGCAAGGTGCATTCAGATAATATAACGTGCCAAACATTACCTCGGCGCCAGAACCAAACAATATAATCTGAAACAAGTTAATGATTGCGTATTTTCTATCACCGGTCTCATCATAATCATACAATTGTGTCCGAACATTTTTACTTTATTAAAACACATACAATCCCCGTATGGTTCGTGTCCAAACGTTGTCATTTTTCATGTGTCGTACGGGTACTCGGGAAAGTCTCAGCCGGAGTATCGGAAGCAGCTCCTGTCCAGAACATCGGATGCGGACATGGGCGCGCGTATTCGAAAAACTCACGCGAACCGCAGTCGCGCTCCTACCGTTGCCCCTGAAAGTAATATACATCCACGTTTTAGTACTTCGCAAAAATGGCATCGGGAAAAGACTTCCAAAAATCCGTCACGCTACTAGGGGAACTGCAGGTGAACGGGACGGAAACAAGACCTGGAAGCAGCAAATCTGTAAAAACAACACAGAGACGTTCTTTAGATGAGAATCTCAGAAATTTAAATGTCAAAAATGTAACTGATCACAACGACAGGTATGTTTTTATTATGTTCACGTATGACTGTACATTATGATTATAGAGGTGTTGTTTTTTCCCCACTCCGAGTCGGTCACTAACCCCTGGATCCATGGCTTTGTTTAGTGGGCTTATTAATATTCGGTCGCTTGACTGCCCCCTCAACACCGACCGACAGTGGCGGATCCAGAGGGGGGCAAGGGGGCCATGGCCCCCTCCAAACGCATGAAAATGCATCTGGATTACGCATAGCATCGTCCGAATCGCACGGTCCCGTGTTTTCGACCTATAGGCCTGCCCCCCCCCCCCCCAATGCATTTTGCTGGATCCGCCCCTGGCGACCGATGTAAATATCGTCCGCTCGACACAACGACATGGGTCCAGGGCTACCCGGGCACTTGACGTAGTGATTCGCTTTCAAATTTCGCGTGAGGCCCGTATAAGTTACGTATAATACATACACGGGACAACATAAAACTAAGCGGTTGGTCACAGTCACATCAGATTGACCCAAAATACAGGACACATTTAAACAGTTTTCTTTGAGGTAGTGCCAGTATGGGTCACATAATTAGAATGCTCATTCGCCTCATCACATTCAAATTTGGTCTATTAGTGTTTTTAAAGGCAGATATGAACAAGTGTAAACATGCAATAATTCAGTGGGTGATGAAATATGTATGACCACTGAGTTAACTTGAGTTAATTATATGTAATTAGTAAATAAAATGAAAACAGTGATCATAATACATTTCGAGTACGAAAAAAAATAATTATCAGTATACAATTACTATGCATCAAGCTATTTTGATTGTTGATTTGTATCATTTTAATACCATTAATAAACCTACAAATTGTACTTATCTCACATATAATAATCGAAACACAACACAACACAAGCTAAATTAACATTTACATTTATGTAACTTTATTGCGTCTACAACGGTCGTTGGAGCGTCCAGGAAAGTGTCTGGGGGGGGGGATGTTGCAAAGTCCCTCGGGTGCGGGACTTAGGTGTATGTAAATATCTTGCGTTCGCTGTAAATTTTTGAAACATTGGGCTGTTTGACCATTTAGTCTACATTTCAGCGTGTTTTGCTGACACATGGATAGTGAGAAGTGTCATATCATATGTACATTATCATCGATCTACAGCAAACTCTAATAATTATTGTTTACCGTCCTGGTATTTTTTTTCGCAGTTTACACTCAGGACAAACTTCAGGTGACACTCAGGCTGTCAAGAGAATTAATAATTGGGTAGATAATGTACTTGTCATGCCCGAAGAGTCAGACCATAATACATCGGACGCAAGCACAGATGCTGGGTAAGAGTTATTTTGATTATTTTAAAAAAATACTTTATTATGAGTACTATTAATAATGTTTCTGAATTGTATCATAATAATCTTACAATTAACACCGTGACTCCAATTCTAAGACAACAATAATGATCACGAACACACCGTCAGATTTTCCAATTGAATACAGAATCATTCGATAGTCAGTTTTACATGCTGTTGTTGACGCCATCGTCGTACATTATTTTAATATATGAGTTTTAACAGATACAAAACATGTTTCTTTTACGGATGTTCGTAACAGTGACGTGTTCTAGCTATTTTTAATTTCACTAGGGACGTTTTTTTTTGTGTTCCCGGCAATGCATCAGTTTACCCACAGTCCCTCTATCAGAGGGACTGTGGTTTACCCAACATCAATTTCTTTCTTCCCACATCACTGTAACTAGGCCTGAAGTTGCATCGCAAAAAAACTCCAGTAGTGGTCGTCGTAGGAACCGAACAGGCACTTCCCATGTCAGCTTTTAAGCCTCGGGCAAGGCCCGATGCAAAAGTTACAAAAGTATCCGAGCTTGTATCGCCTTTTCCTATTTTAAAGAAACAACATACCCAGAGCGTCGCCACAAATAATAAGTTTACAAATTGTACTAATTTCGCGTGTATATTCAAGCTAAGTTTGTATTTAACATTGTTGAAATATCGGAATGTTTAATACCACGAATCAATGGAACGATTACTTCTTATAAATTCTCTTCTATAGGCAGTGAATGAGTTGGGCTATTACTACGCATGCGTATGCGAAACGCCAAACTAATTGCAAAACAATGTACATGTGAAGACTGTTTTGACCCGGTATTTGACTGTCATCCAGGGGCGTCGATCCATTCTGAAAAGTGAGGGGGACACTTTTGTGTCCGCGTAAACGGCCAATGTCCGCGCTTGCGCGAACAGGGGGGTGTCTGAGAAGGGGGGACTGCCCTATGCTCCGACATCTCTATGTTCCGACACCACTATGTTCCGACACCCCTATGTTCCGACACACAGTATACTTGTGACAAACTTAATCTGACTAGCCGTGCGTGACCTTTT